TATGCTAGTGTTAGCGATTTGAATTTGATGTGTGCTGCTAATGTAGCCGGTGGAGCTCAGTGAAAAGAGGGTGATAGGCTCTAAGATCAGAGTAATTCTGTGTAAATATGATGCAAAAACATGTTGCTGCCATAATAAACCAGCCCATGCCTTCATGTTTCAAAGTACGTCACAAGTACATCTCCATCTGTTTCGTATAAAGAGGATATTTTATCACAAAAGTTAAGAAATCCCTGCTTATTTATTATTGTAAATAACCACAATATTTTATATGATCAACTATGTGATATGAGATTAAAGGTGGCAGAAGGATTCATGAAATAATTTAAAAAAAATCATCTTTAGTCAATAAAAACACCGCTCATCTGGGTTGAGGTGCTGGATAAAAAAATTGAATGAAGGGAAACAAAATCCGCACACTTCAATCTGCTAGAATATAGTATTTATTCTTCTCAAGCTATCGGTCAAAAGACCAATTCCTGATGAAGGCCTTTTGACCGAAAGCTTGAGAAGAATAAATACTATATTCTCGCAGTGTCCGGATTTTGTTCTCTTCATTAAAAAATGATCTCTAAAAAATGAACATCCCAAGGACACGGTGACGACTGGTGCTACGTTAAGATGTAAGTAGGCTTTGGTCTTCGCTGGTTTGGAGTGGCCATTTAGCCATTTAAGACTTAACTCTGTTTTCCTCCAAACACACTTTTTGGCAGGTGTGTTGCAAGCTTTTCAAAAGTGTGGGGGATGTTGTCTGTGCCTAAAATAATTTCATGTTATTCATCTTGTTAGTTTAATTTCCATAATAGCGGAGCAGGTGCGAATTTTAGGCGCGTCACGCATGTCTCCGTTTTAAACATGTTTAAACTGTTCAGAATACAAATCCAGGCTCTGTCTCGTTGCGACTAAAGTTTGTACTGAATGAAACTTTACATTAAACCATGCTGAACAGAAAAGGATCCGATTAAATCGTTTCTCCCTCATTTACAGTCAGTACAGCGCAGACTGCGCAGTGCGCATGGCTCCGGGGTTAATCAAGTTTAGTTGTTTCTCCTTGCAACAATCTTCACAGGAAGTCAAAATCAGAGAATCAGCGAGAATTTTATTGCCAGCGCTCCAGTGAACCAGAGCATAGGAACTTGACTCCACAGAACAGCCTGACCAAGATTACACACACACAAATAGACAGGACAGATACAGGCAGACCACGAGAGCAGCCATAACGGCGCTCATTTCCATAGATGAAGAGGGGATCACATGAGGAGTGTTCAGGGAGGGAGAAAAAGGCATTAACAGAGTTACACCGGCAGGGTGTAGCTCTACTATGCAAAAAAACACCTCAACATATAAGCACGAACGTCACAGTTCACAACATGAGACCCGGTAGGTAGGGGGGTGGGGCTGGGACCCTGGTTTCCTCAGCGGGAGCAGCCTGTGTGGCACTCAGCCAACTGAATCCACAGGTGGGTGGGAGGTCATGGGAAAGCACAGAGCACAGTGAGTGCCTCCATCTTAATGACCTCAAAGCAGAGACCACAATCTGAAGACGGGCGGGGGGGGGGGGGGGGGTAGGTAGGGTTTCACAGCATTTGTCTGCATTCCTTCCATGGTGGGGGTGGGGGGTGGGGTGGGAGGGGGGGGGGGGTTGCACGCAACTCCAAGGCTGCTTACGGCATCAGATTGGATAACAGGACTTTGTTTGGGTCAGACAGAGATAATTTTTCTCTCTGCCTTAAAGTCTGTATTGATCATTCCAGTCCTTCAGTGAAGCCAATTCAGGTATTAAACATCTCCACACCGTCCGGTGACCCTCTCCGAGATGACATCCATTTTGCGCACTAACACCGGTAACGCAGCTAAGACATTGTCCAGCTTGCGATTCACCTCGAGTAACGTCCCAGTCTGTGAGCTATCCACCTGGACGGTGCCGTCCATGGGTGCGGGTCGCCCTCCAATTGCTCCCGTCATCCCAATTTTTCGAAAAACCAGATATCCTCCCACTCCAATCAGAAGAAATCCAGTGTTCATCAGGCCAAATATCCACCCATCTTCGACGTCCTCAATGGACAGCTGAGAGGGACAGGTGACATTCCACTTCTTCCAGGAATCGAGCATATATCCCGCTGCCTGTGTCCCGTGAGGGCAAGCGCGAGCCCCCTCCTCCGTTCTCGTCGTAGAAAAAATCTTATCAATCGCGTTGAATGACCAATTAATTAAATCCATTTCTGAAAAATAGTGATTTCTAGTGGAAATGCAGAGAAGCGCTCTGTAGGCAGACGGGACAAAAAGAGCCTTGGGAAAAAGATAAGGGAGCAAAGCAGAAGCGACTGTGCTCTGTGAGTGCCAGAAGAGAAAAACAGTTAAATGGCAGGTTACAGATATTTCCATTTGACTGTTTATTTTGACGGATAAACTCAAGGATGCTGTTTGCTTTGAAAGAACAAGAAACCCGGTCTCTCTGAGGGATGTGTCACTTGGAAAAATGTTTGCTGATCATGAAACTTTGGCTGAACAGCGCTTGTTCCCGTCTCCAATATAGAGACGCATGACGCATCCAGTCTGAGGCAGAATAGCCTCTTCAGCTCAGAAAGCACCTCTAGAGACATTTGATCGCGCACAAAGTTTATGTGGAGCAGAAGCGGTCGGGCCACGGCAGGTGAAATGTTCCTAGCCTACATGAAGTGAAACTGTTTCATTGTAACATTAATATGCTACTGGACACGCTGGTCTGGTTGGTTAGACCAGTGTTTGATGTGGAAAACACACACACACACACACACACACACACACACACACACACACACACACACACACACACACACACACACACACACACACATCAATTAAAATAATGCTGATAGCGTGGACTAGAAGCCAGGTGATGGTTTACGTATTTAAATGATGATCAGGCTGCTGTAAAATGTAATCTCCATCCACATCCAGACAGAATTATCCTCTATTCTTTCTCTATTTGCTCTGCTCTTGTCTGGGCTGATCAGCTGATGGTGCGCGCGGCGCGCCTAACTAGCGGCTGTGGTGCACATTTTACGCATTTGGAGAGGTGGGCTGGATGCTTTGCTTTTACTGGAAGATGGTCCACTTAACGCACGGGTGTAGACTACATATTAATGACAAATGAATGAAAATTAAATTGTGAGTTTTTACTTCATATTTTAGAAATAAAAATGACGGGGGAAAACATTTACGACGTCTTTTTAAACGAAATTTTCTAGCGTGACCTGCCTGCTTCACTTAAGTCGCTGCTTATTAAGGTTCGTCCAGAATTACCGTGGCCCACCCAAAAATGAAAACCTGGCGCCGCGCCTGTTATAAACCTCTGCAAATTATTGTGATTCACATTATCAAACTCAGACTTTGTACAGCTAATGTCAAGATGTAAAATTATGAATTCAGTCGAGCTCTTCCGTCCCTCCCTCTCCTGCTCTCCTTGAAACCCGACATCGGCTGTCAGAAGAGGGAGGGGAAGAAGGAGATGAGGCAAGCAGAGTGAGTGCAACGTAGAGAAACCAGACTGGTGTGGAGGTGAGCAAAACAGCTGGAAAAGTGTGGGTGTTGAACGATCTCAATTAGAAAAGTGTGGGTGTTGAATCCCACATCCCCCACGGGTGCGACGCTCAATCCTCTCCTGCCTTTTCCTTTTCTGCATCTTTGTTATACTGAGTGAGAAATAGGTAAATAAAAGCTTGATTTTGAAATGGATCTTCCTAATATGGCTGAGGAAATGTTTTTTTTGGGTAATATCTGCTAAAATATTAAGATAAAATATGTGTAAGCCTTTTCTGTGTAGGTACATACCCGGTGTATTTTCACCACAACAAGCCAAATGTTGGACAATGACCAAACAGGCGGGATTTATGGTGGGAAGCAAATCGATTGGTTGAAAGCCGGTTGTGTCAGAGCAACAGGAGGGCTCTCCTGCTTGAAACCAGGCCCCCACAATGCGAGTAGCCCCTGGCTACATCCCGGAGATCGGGGCGGGGCTAAATGTGGGCGGGGTTAAACGTTTAGAGGTGGGTGGAGACAACTATTTGACTCCTGCCCCTCTCTCAATGGAACCAGGAAACCGCGAGTAGCCCCTTTCTAAGGATTAGAAAGCCCTAAAAACCCACAAAACCCATGTAAAGCATAACATTGGTAATCAAATGACTTGTTTGCTGGATGTCATGATAATTTTAAATGGTAAATGGTAAATGGCCTGTATTTGATATAGCGCCTTCTAGAGTCCTGGAACCCCCCAAGGCGCTTTACAGCACAATCAGTCATTCACCCATTCACACACAAATGCTGGTGGGGATGAGCTACGATGTAGCACAGCTGCCCTGGGGCGCACTGACAGAGGCGAGGCTGCCGAGCACTGGCGCCACCAGTCCCTCCGACCACCACCAGCAGGCAACGTGGGTTAAGTGTCTTGCCCAAGGACACAACGACAGCGACAGACTGAGCGGGACTCGAACCAGCAACCTTCCGATTACGGGGCGAGCACTTAACTCCTGTGCCACCGTCGCCCCATAATTACAGATAATTACAGGCGCCATTTTTGATCCAATCTGTTCCGATATTTTTATTCTTTTTTCTACTTCTGTATGGTATGTGAATTTATAGCACATAGGTATTTGTGTCTTTTAGCTGTACTTTTGGTACCTATATAAAAGGTTCAGGCATTTGATAGACTATTCTTTAAACCTGTCAAAACCATTTTAATAGTTGATTTTATCAATGCTGCCTTTATTTTAATAGTCATTTCCCAAGTGAGTGTAAAACAGTACAGACACGGGTAAATTTGTTGTACACTCAGTTATATCAGCTACATTAAGAGGACCAGAGACTTAAATTGTGCTGATACTTCTTAAAACACGCCAGGGTTTGAGGCGGGGTGGTGAGACATTGTGTGAGACACCCAAGAATGCAGACTAAATTTTTCAAAAAAGGTAAATTTAATAGAGCAAACAGCCAACACACGAATAAAAAAAAATATACAAACAAATGAACCAAAAAGCACACAAAAAACAAGAGAACCTCCAAAAAACCAATGTGAGGAGGAAAAAGAATGCAAAAACTGTGACACCGCTGTACTATGGCATTTCAAAACCAGAAAACACCTTCATTTCCTTTTTTCCTCAATTTCTCTGCAGAACTCCTCATAGTCGGACTGAAAACTAAACATGAACAGGAACGGTTCCCTGCAATCATTCATCTCCTGTTCATCTAGGCCATCACAGAAGCATAACCTCTCCACTGCCCTCTGGCAAGCTTCCCTGTCCATGGTGATGACCTGGGGAAGGGAAAGGCTTCCTTTGAAGGACCTTGTGGTACACCACCTTGCTGCCTCAAAGGTGTCCTCAAGCAGAGAATTCTCCTAATCAAAAATAAAGACAATATTAAAATTACTGCTGTCAAGAAATTAAAAACATATTTTACATTAATTATGTATGATCTGTAAGTAATCTAATCTTTTGATTTAATCTAATAACTGTACATAATATAAGCCTTATTTTCAATGCTAACAGCTAGCCAAACAGCTGATGCTGTGGTCTTTCCAAACTGCAGCACGGAGGTGCGTCTGATACAGGAGAGAAGCTGTCAGCAGCCTTGATGCTCAGCGACACACCCATTACATCCAAATGGTAACAATAACTTTGGAAAAAGTTGCAAGAAGGGTGAAAAAAACGGAGTAAAGATAACAAGGTCGCTGAAATAAACACTGCTGCAGCTAATCTCTCACCGGTCTTGTCACTGTAACGTCAACCCTTCAACTTATGAGTTTACATCAACCCTTCAAGAACACCAGCAAGAAGCGTAAAAGTAAAGAAATTGGTTTATTTAAAAGTCCCATAAAGAAGCAGTAGATTAAAAATGATTAACATAATTAAAATATATAACACGTTAATCATGGCTGTAAAAAAAATAATTGCAAGTAATGGAATTATTTGACACCTCTAATTAAAATAGAGGTTGGAGAAGAAACAATGACACAAGAAAAGCCGACAATATAAAACATACTCTGTTCCCTGTGTCCAGTTCCAGCAAGTTCTCAGCCTCTGCTAGAAAGGAAAAAGACTGTGGTTCATAAAAAGCATATTAACAGTGCAAGTTGTAAAAAAGATCAGTTGCTTAGTATTCTGGTTTAATGAAAATAGATAAATGACTGTAAAACTTGCTTTGAAAAAAAAAGTGCTCGTCTGGAACGGTCTTAATTTTCTAATATTGGCAAAGTAAGAATTTCATTGTGCAGAAAGCGTGTTTTTCTAGATGTGCATATGACAAAAGGTTGAATCTTGAATCTTCCCACATCCCATTTTGACAACCTAGGGGGTTGTGTACAATAATACTTGTTTGAACAATACCTGATGCTGCACAGACTCATTCAGTAAGGCAGGACTTCTTAGGAGGGACCACTTCCAGGCCCTGAAATAAGTGAAGGGATTATGCTTTAGTTTGCAAGCAACAGTTAAACTACAAGAATTAATCAAATTGTCTCTCACCTGTTTTACTCTTTCCTCTCTCCGTCTTTTTCATGCCTGCACTCTGTCTTCCTCAGACCTTGGTGATACAATGACAACATTCATTCACTATGAAAACATTCATGTTATTCTGTTGACACTTGACTGAGCAAAACGTTTATATAATTATACATATCAGATTAGCACTCTAACCATAATAATAAAGCCCATCAGGTGTAAAACTCAGATACGAACATAAAAAGCTTAAAAAACTAACATATTTCCCCCTGTAAAATATATTTTCCACCAAAAAGTAATCATGACCACACAACATCTCCCCAAAGCTATAAAAGTGTTCCTACAGGTTTCTTCAACTTAAATTTAAGTCTGTTTAAGATCTTTCTAAAGCCATATAGAAAATTAATACCTATTTCACGGCACTATCAGCAAAAAAGTAAATAAAGAAAACAAAACTATTGAACTAGTTTTCATTTATTTATCTATACAACTTTACCAATATATTTTGACAAAACACTGGGTGGGCACTTGGTAGAAGATCGGTTATATTTTTAAACAAATGGTTAAAAATATAACCGATCTGGTTTGACATTAGAACCTTAACAATAATTTTTGTTGCCTATATTTTAGTTTAATTTTAAGACGTTTTTTTATTATTGTTAATTTTATGACCCTAATTTCTTGCAGTATTTCTATTGTATAAAAGCAACAGTGCAAACAGTAAAGACACAAAATTGAAATAAATGTCTAAAAATAGCCTTTATTAATACTAGTGCTTCTCTTCATGTCATCACTTGTTTGGAATATTTTGATGAACTTCAGAAGAAAAATGCAGTACAGAAAACTTACATCCAACACAAATTTTAAGACCCAGATGCCAAAATTGAAGGGTTTCTCCAGTCTTTTAAAGGTATTACTTTCAAATTCATAAATTCAATGCTTTTAAGACTCCGCGGGAACCCTGTAAACATTTCTCCTCAAAAGTAAGTCACCCCGCATGTGTAAAATAGGCTATATGTACCATCTAAAACTCATAATGGGAAAAAAACCCTTTAATTTCCAAGTTTATAAAACGTTCGCCCAACATTGGCCTTCGATATTGTTAAAACAGAGAAAGAAAAATTCTAGCTTACCTCCATTTTGGCAGCTCCTTCCCTCTGTCCCGGCTACAGCATTGCACACACACATAGCATAGCGGTTTCCTGGTTCCATTGAGAGAGGGGCAGGACGCAGGAGTCAAATAGTTGTCTCCGCCCACCTCTAAACGTTTGACCCCGCCCACATTTAGCCCCGCCCCGATCTCCGGGATGCAGTCAGGGGTTAGTTGCACAATGCGGCTCAGAAATTGGTCTCAACCAAAAAGTGCAGTTACACTCTCATCCGCTGGGGGCTGGTGTCAGAAGCGAGCAAATCCTCATTGACTCCCATGTTAAAAATACCACTTTCACAGCAGAAATAAACATGTTTACAGCCTGGTACCAAAACATGTTTTTTGTTTAAATTATCTAGTTTACACTCATGACAACTCTGAGGGGGTGAATTTTTTTTCTCACTCTTCTGTTTAAGTATATTAAAAGCCTAAAATTCTGTATAATTAACGAGCATCCGACACACATGACCGCAGAGCTAGCTCCGTGGAAAGGCCTCAGTAAAGCCTCGATCTGGCTTGGAAACTGCTCCGGGATTTCGAGTCTCTGTGTTTGTGTATTCTTTTTTGGATATTTTTTGTGCAATTGCTGGACAAAATGACTTGTTGTGGCATTAATTGCACTAATAGAGCGTCCAAGGAGTCTCCACTTCATTTTTTTCGGTAAGTAAAATTATATTTATGTATTTTAGGTCACTGCCGAGCTGAGCTTGGATTTCAACATGTACTGTTTAACCATGAAATTTAAATGTAATTGGGTAAACCCAGTGCATTTAACATGATGCTGCACTTTAGTAAATGGGTTGAAATATAACATGTTGGTGGAACTGGGTTCCAACTATCGGCTTGTGGAGCTCTCAGGAGACCGATGTTTTGCACCCGTTCTCCCCTTCCCGCAGCTCGGCGCATGTCTGTCTGATCGCGGCTTCTGTTTGATGCGCGGGCTGACGGCTTGTGGAGCTCTGGGATGGAAACCGTTCCACCAGGTTCTCCCCATCGGCAGCTCTGTGCATCTCAGATCGCAGCGGCGCTTGTCTGCTGTGCATCTGCCGGCTTGTGGAGGTCTCGGAAACCTCTGTGTTCCACCCGGTTTTACCCAGCGGTCAGCCCGGCGTATCTCTGACTCAGAAGCTCTGGTGTTGTGCACAGTTAACTCCGGTTGTAGCTAGGTAGCTACCTCCATTAGCTTAGCTCCACCTCCGCGTTAGCTTGTAGCTAGTTCGACCGGGTGTCGTCAGTTGATCCCAGCCTTACAGCCCCACCCTCAGCTCCACCTCTCTTCCCTTTTATGGAATTGTCTGGGCTTGACGGAACCTGTGACATGGTCAAAATGGCGGTGGTGGCCACCTCCCATTTTAGTACAAAAACTTTTTATTGGAATCTATGGAAACCCATTGTCCATTTATGTATGTTGATGCTTGAAACCGAAACCCGAGGCAAACAGACTGTTTGTGTGTGTGTGAATCAGTGACAGCTTCAAGGCTTGATTCCTTCAGGACTGGTAGATTAATATAACAGTTATTTAAAAAAAAAGCTCAAATGTATTAGGTATGTCCTTTGTGTGGGTTAGGCTACAGAGAATGGACATTGATTATGCTATCAAACTCGTGATATTTAATAAGAACGGTCCTGATTGCTGGATGTGGTGATGTATCTTTTTGATGCATGGGCCACCGTGGCTGCAATACTTACTCTGAACTGCATGTCGCTAATGTCATGTTGTGGGTAAGCTGTTTCAGCCAGGACATGAAGAACCACATGCAGATAACAAAGGTAAGTAAAATAATATAATTGTTCATTTAAATGAGGATATGGGTAAACTAACCCTAACCCTAACCAGAGAACCAAGAGAATTTTTATTTCCTTTGGGAAATAGTTCTTACGGTCAACGACCAGGGGTCGGTGATGGTGAACTGGGTCAGATCTAGTAGTGAAGAGGTAGCCGAACCGATGGATGAGATGGAGATGAGCAGGAGACGGTAGTAGGTGTCCAAGATGTAGGTTGGAAGACAGGTGGGCGGTGGAGAGTGGAGGCCAGAGGATCCTGAACGGCGTGACCTCGAGTACAACTCCAGGCGTAGGTGGGTGATTCAAGATGAGGTAACTGGAGACAAGAACAACAGGATCTTACAGGAAAAATTCACAGGAATACAGGAATCTAGACTAGGCTGGAAGCTACCCTTGGTGAGAGTATCGACCGGCGCTGGAGTTGTGTCACACTGCTCGTTAAATCCCCTGGCCCTCTGATTAACGAGATCAGGATCAGCTGGAGCTCACTGACACGCCCACCTGTAACACAAAACTGAAGAATGCCAGGTCTCCTTTAAGGATGATTACGGCAGACCATGACAGTACCGGTGAAGGGTCTGCAGGAGGACACAGAGGGCTGGAGACAACAGGCTTGAGTAATGACACATGAAACACGGGATGTACCTTCATTGATGGAGGCAAGGACAGGCGGATGGAGACAGGGCCAAGAACAGCGGCTATGGGAAACGGGCAGAGGTAGCGGGGAGAGAACTTCCTGTTGGAGCCCCAGATCCTAATGTCACGGGAGGAAAGCCAAACCATCTGTCCAAGGGCATAGGCTGGTGCCAGACACCTGTGGCAATCCGCGAGCCTGCGGTTGTGATCCACCGTGCGTTGGAGGGCTGCACGAGTCTGGTTCCAGGTGCGGCTGGCCCGGCGGAGGAACTGAGGAACCGTGGCGGAGGTAGGAAAGTCAGAGGGAAACAGAGGAGGCTTATATCCTAGGGAAACTTCAAATGGGGACTGACCTGTGGAGGCAGAGGTGTGGGAGTTCTGAGCATACTCAATCCATGACAGTTGCGAACTCCAACCAGTGGGGTTCGAGGCACAGACACATCGAACCTTAGCCTCTAGTTCCTGGTTCATGCGTTCCACTTGGCCATTGGTCTGCAGGTGAATTCCAGAGGTGAGGAAAACCCGAGCCCCCAGGTGATTAGCAAACTCTGTCCAGACACGGGATATGAACTGGGGATCTCAGTCCGACAGGATCTCGGTTGGAAGGCCATGTAAGCGCAACACATGTTTTATGAGCAGGTCAGCGGTCTCAGCAGAAGATGGAAGCGACTTAAGTGGAACTAGATGACAGGCCATAGAGAACCGATCGACAATGTTGAGTATGGCGGTGAAACCCCTGGAGGTGGGAAGGCCAGTTACAAAATCCAGGGCGATATGGGACCAAGGATGAGGAGGAGCTGGCAGGGGCTGGAGAAGGCCTTGAGGAGACTGGTTATTGCTTTACATCTGGCAGATATCTGGCAGGTGCTGATATACTCCTTGACATCCTTATACATGGACGGCCACCAAAAGGTCCTTCGGATGAGAGTTATGGTTCTGCCGAGGCCAGGATGGATGGAAAATCTTGTCATGTGTGACCAATGTATCAGGGATCCGCGGGCACTAGAAGGAACATAAATCTTGTGTGGTGGACCGGTAACTGGATCTGGTTCCAGACGTTGAGCCTCCAGCACTTTGTTGGTTATGTCCCAAGTGATAGAGCCGACTATGCAGGAGGCGGGTAGGATGATGGTGGGTTTCACTTCTCTATCCGAAGCGTACTGGTGAGAGAGGGCATCTGGCTTGACGTTCATTGAACCGGGTCTGAAAGAAATGATAAAGTTGAAGCGGGAGAAAAACAATGACCAGCGGGATTGACGAGGGTTCAGTCTCTTAGCCTCCTTCAGATATGCCAGGTTCTTGTGGTTGGTCTATATGATTATGGGGTGTTCTGCTCCCTCCAACCAGTGACACCACTCCTCCAATGCCATCTTTATGGCCAGCAATTCACGGTCTCCCACCTCGCAGTTTTGTTTGGCAAGGGTGAGACGACGGGAGAAAAAGGCGCAGGGATGGAGGCAGTGATCTGTTGGGGAGACCTGGGAGAGAATGGCACCCACCCCAGTGTCGGAAGCATCGACTTCCAGGGTGAACTGTAATGAGATGTCCGGGCGTGTGAGTATGGGTGCTTGGGTGAAACTGATCTTGAGGGCGTGGAATGCCTGATCAGCCACCTGGGACCACAAAAAGGGTCTTTTGACTGAAGTGAGTTGTGTGAGAGGTGCGGCGATCTGGCTGTAGTTCCTAATGAAGCAGCAATAAAAGTTAGCAAAACCCAGAAATTATTGCAGCTGCTTACGTGTTGATGGGGTTGGCTATGTCTGAACTGCGTCAACCTTGATGTCAGACATCACGAATCAGATCTTGGACATCATTCAACAACACTCCACCGTGAGTAAAGTTATCATTCATGCAGGCACCAA